ATGGGTTACCGGTGCCGGGTTACAGCTACCTGACAGGAGGAAAACTGGGACAGAAACATCAGCATCCATCTGCACAGGGGCATTTAGGAATAAAACCACTCATTCAAGGAAGGAAGAGAAGTTCCGCAAAGAGGGAGAGACAGAGGGAGTGAGAGGGGATAAAGACATGAAAGAGAGAAAGAGGCAATTAATCTGCACCCACCCACCCCCACCCCCGAAAAAAAGAACTGCAGTTTTCTGGTGGAATGTGTACTTATTATCCACACAAATGGTGTCCAGGCCTGGACTGAGGTGAGAATTTTCTGGGAATATTTTCTGGGATTATTTAGAGCCACGCAGGTGCAGGGATCCAGCACTTGCATCGGGGGCTGCATTTATGGCGATGCTCTTCTTGTCAAACGTTAAGTTGCTGCGATCCTGATTTTACAAAGAAAGCAGTTTATAGTTTTAACAGTGAACAGATTGAAGTCTGGTGTTGATATATTTTCTTTTTTAAAAAAAAAGCACTTCGCGTTTTAAAGGAACTGATCTTGTAGTGGATTGCGTTCTCCCCATCAGTCTTCGTACCATTGATTCAGAAAATAACCCACTGAACAAAACATCTAAAATGTCTGTGTTGCGAGTCACTCGCAGTAATGCAATAAAATCGTGCAATAATTCTGTGTTGTTGTTTTTTTTTGGGTATTTGTTACAGATCAGTGCATTCGAAGATTAAACATAGCTTTCTTCATAAAAAAAAACCCATTTGTTTGCGTTCAATCCGAGTTATGTTCAACAAAACGTAACATTCGAGGCTTATTCCAATTTAATTCGGTTAAGTGGTTTAAGGGGATCTTGTGGCTTTTTTCGTCAAAATGAAAGTTATGCAAACCCAAATAGTTCCATAAAGACGCCGGTGGTTGTGGAAGATCACTTTAAAATAAATCAGCTGGTGAATAGGATTGCAATAACACAAGCGTTTCCTCGTCAAATGGGTGTCTTCGAAAGTAATGAAACGTAGTTAAGCAATTAACAGTTGTGGAGATTAAATTCAACAGGAATTTTCCTTAACCTCCTCTGGTTTTACTGCGTCCAATTGATGGTTGTTGTGGTCTGCAAACATGGGCATTTGTTTGATAAGTTTGTTCATTTCGTTCTGAGGTTGTTTGGGTTCTGCCCCATTGCCTTTCCAATATTCCTCTTTGCTCATCGTTGGATCTATTTCTAACTCAGAAGAAACCTGCTCCAGCATTAAATTTGCGAGCAAAAATAATCAGTACAACTAGTTCTCCAAACTGTGTTATGAATACTTGTACCATTCACAGTGACTGGGCAAACGTTTTTTACAGTTGTTTTGTGCATTGGTGGTATTTTTAAAACCAGATCCATACAATAAAACATTGATAAAAATGCATTTTATTATATTTAAATGTTTGAAGTCTTCAGTTTTCTTACAAAGTTTAATGTCAGCCAAACTTTTCAAAGTTCATGTGAAAGATTGTAAAACCATCCAATTATTTTCAACTTTACTTCCCCATTATTAAGCAGTGGTTTAAATCTGTAGTCACTGCCATAGCCAAATAAGGATTTTAAAATAAATAAAGTCGGATTTTGGAAACCGAGTGAGACTTGCTTTGTTTGCTGCAACAGTTTTGCAAGATTGCGTTAATAAATATAAAAGCAAAATGCATCATATTAAAACGGCACCTGTAAACTTTAGTTACAGTTTAAAAGGTAGAGACCAGCGTTGCAAGAAATCTCAATCATATAAAAATAAACTGGTTATAAATACTGTACATAATCACGTATATAGCACCTAACAAAGTAAAACCGTGCAGGTAGCACCATACTGTGAGAAATAATCATAGGAATGACCCTATGATATTTCTGCTGGGAAAATTAAATTCTCTAGATTTTTTTCTTTTAACTTAAATTGTGAAGTCCCCACTTAGAGGATAAGGTAAACAAACACTTCGGATGTCTAGCCAGGATGCGTGACCTGATACGTTGTCAGATGCAAATCATTACTTTGAGCAAATTCAAATGTAATACTTCTAACCCCAGACTTGTTAAACAGTGATTCTGCTGAGGTCCTAACTCAGAGTGATTGACGTGGAGTCTGGCATTGCAAAGGACAATTCAAACAGGAATGTGGCCCCACAGAAAGATTCAGCCCTGGTGGTAATTAATTACTTTCTACCTTTTCACTCAACCAATGCACCAACAAACTTAATTACACGCAAAAGCTAAACTATTTGATCTCCCATGCTGGTCTACAATGGATCGTGTGATATCCCATTATAGAACACCACAATAAATACTGTACCAAAACTCTGGCTAGCGAAACTGGCGCGTTGAAAAGGTTAAGAGATGCTAATCGGATAACTAAAAATTTCGTAAAATGGGAAGGGGGCCGGGGTTGACGAAAGTAACTTTAGAAGATGTTACTACTTTACTGGATTGCTTTTTTTGGGTGGGTGGGTGGGTAGAGGGTGGGAGTTGGTGTTATTGCAAGAGCTTGTGTTGAGAACTCCATTCAGGAAGCAGCAGGGAAACTTTGCATTGCTACCAGAAACCAAAATGCAATAGGAAATGGAGAGCAACATGAGTCATTTAAAAAAGACTGGCCAACAAAACCTTAATACTCCACCTTTGCACTTTTCCCCTTACCAGCCCCTACTGGTGGCTGCCATCAATCTATGTGCCTTGGCTTTGGACTTCCATGTGGTCCCACTCCATTATCTACAAATTTGCAACTGTTACTGCATCAGTGCCCTGCCTATTGCCATCTATATCCACAGTTGAGTGACACAATGGGATCGGCCATTGGTACTTTCTCAATGTCATCAGCCCCCACTTACAAACCCGATATATATTTTAAAAATGGTCACTCAATCCATGACTGTTGGTGGGACACTGCTGTGCACAATTGCTGCAGAATATATAGTCAATCCACATTGCTATGATAAGGCACTATATCAAATGTAAGGATTATTATTATTAACATTGCATCTGAAGTAACAGGCCATTGTTTACACAACCAGCTTGATAGAACTGAATTTGCTATCAAGCTGCAGAGGTGAAAACATATTCCCAATTTCCTAAATTTGCTCAGCACCCAAAAGTGTTGCAGCAGCTGGAAGAATTCTGCCTTAAACTCAGTGTAGCTCCAGTTAACTTCTTTAAAATAATTCTCATTGGTAACTCAGTTAACATTTCACCCCTTGAAGTTAACATTTTGATTTTATTGATATGGACTGAAAGGCAAAACCACCTTGTTCTAAACGGCCACCGACACTGCTTCCTTGATTCAGCATGTCTGCTAGATTGCTGTCAATATTTACTGCTTCTGCTACATTGTACACACCATTGAAATCATACAGCAATTGAGCTGCATATATGATTTCTGGGTTGGGGGGGTGGGGGTTGGAGTAGAGCAAGAAAGGAGGAAAAATAAATGCTTTGCACATTACTTAATGTTTCTAAAAAAAACTAAATATTTTTTATATTGGCTCATCCACATTAGTGAGTATTTGGGTGTAAGAATGTTTTTGTGTTTCATGCGTGTACATTTTTAAAAAAAATCCTTTTTGAAATATTTCTCTAAGTTTAGGAAAATTTAAATAATTAGTTATTCCAGAAACTGGCAAAATAAACATTGATGCACTTACATTTCTATAGCTACTTGGGAAAATAAACCATTAGGTTTTAAAATTTAGAACTAAGATACTATGTTCTTAATTTCTTTTGTAAAATACGGTGAACACTTTTATACAAATAAGGATGTTTACTGAAGTCAATTAAGTAAAACCTTTATGCAGCATATAGGTAGGTTTTATTTTAGATTCCACTGCCATTGAGCTGAGTGAATTTGAATTACTAGATGTCCTTTAAAGCAATAAAAGGGAGCCCAGGATTCATTTTGTAACAGGAAACAATCTCCAGTTAAAGTCTCAATCAAATGTGAAGTACAACATTTTAATTTGTCATCATTTCTAGCCACACTTTGCAAACTCTTGTTCATTTTGGGATATCAACTTGTACAAATTGGTCAGTAATACTAAAAATAATCATTGCATTTGATATATCATGTCGTTGAGACATCTCAAAGTGCTTCACAGAACATATTGTAAAGTGAATTGACTGTATATTTTAAATTCAAAATGCAAATTTGGCAGATGTCGTTTAAAATAGGACTTTCACTGCCCACCAGATTGCAAACTTGTAAAGTATTAAAAAAACTATTTAAATATGCATAGCTGGTTGTCAGTGCAGATATCTGCAATTGTGTTGGGTAAAAAGTACAGTCAATTACAATAATTTTATCCCTCTTTGAAACAGATACAAATATAGGTTGCTCATTAGTGACACACAAAGAAAGTCTCAGCAATATTTATTGCTTTCTGAACTGCAATTTCCATTGTTCCTTGGTGCAATAGTGTATAAATGGAGTGGTGTCAGTAATTGGAGTTCAAATCCACGCAAGAAGCTTAAGAGAATCCAACTTCAGGTTTTAAATAGTAACCCAGTTCTGTATTAACATCTGATGGGAATTTGCTATTGAAGGCCAGCTCAATATGCACCAGCATCCAGGTGCAAAATAAATCGAACTGCAATAGTGTAGGAGGGGAAGACAGTGCTAGAGTTCAACAATTGATCTGTATAACTACACAAAGATTTTTTCCATAACCTATTGACAAAATCTACACCAATACATGTTACAGAAGATATCAGCGGCCAGACAGGAGTTTCAGCCTACATGAAAAGATTCTGCATTGGTGACTCACAAACCACACATTTCTTGCTTACCCCCTTCTGCATTAGACAAATTTATTTACTAACAGTTTCTAGGCTTTTGCATATTTCATAAAATATCCCAAGTTCTTACAGTCTCTAGAATTAATGAAATTCCTACAAGTTACCAGACCATAGGTTCATTTCATGCATCATGCATCTGGTTATCAAGGGCATTGATGACTGTAACCCATTGTAAAGCAGTACAGAATAATTGCATAATCATGCACATTTCAGTAGATTTATTAAACTATTCAAATGAAAAATACAGTAGTGCACAATTTCAATAAACATCCACTTTCTGAAGACAAGATTCTCTGTGGTGAACAAAAACATTTTAGAGAAACAAAGACAACTTAGGAACAAACTGTGAGTCCTACAGTGAAGTTCCAGCTTACTTTTTCTCTGCCCACAAAATTAGTTTAGATTTAACATAAACCAGTGGCACTCAGACCAGAAGATTCAAGCATCAAGTCAAATAACAAAATGTGGCTGTCAAATTACCCCTTGGTTTTAGACATTCACAGTATCAGAGGCAAATAACTGTTTAAATACCCAAACTTCAATTAAAATTTAGAAGCATAGAAGGCTCTACTGATGTGAGTTGGCAACATTTTATATACATTATTTACTAAAGTGAAAAAATACTTTTGAGTTTAGACTCCTTAGTAACAAGAAGAATTTAATTTCTGTTTGGCACCATGCACAGTTAATCTAGTCCACCAATACTTTCCTTATGGACCCTTTGGTCACTTGAATACTACATATCATAGCAATGTATCCCAGTTATTATACATTCACCTTGAACATGCCAATTCTCTTGATAAGATCAGGGTGGGAAACTTGATAATATCAGAGTTGGAAAGAAATTCAAAGCAAATTGTCCTCAGGATATATAGCTAAATAACTTGGCCAGGGGAGCTTATACTTGATGAAAAGCACAAAACCTAAAGCAGCAGAAGTAACCCATTTTAAAAATAGAACCAGTACACTTTGAATATTTATATATCTTTATAATATAGTCAGTGTGTTAAGGATGCACACTGATCCATTTTATATTCAAAATGGCCAGTTTTAGATACTGGTGGAACACATAAGCAACATGAAAGTGACTCAACAATGATTCCAGCAAAGAGTAAACAGTAGTGGTTATAAGCATATTGAAGTTACCCTAATCCATTTCCCAAACACAATAAATCAAAGTTATTAGAGTACTAAAAATTACCATATCTTAGCCCTGAAAAGTCTCGTTTAGTAAGAGGAGAATCAAAATGTCTCTTCTTCACGGAGTGTGCACAGTAACAGACATTAGATCACTAAACCAAGTGGAACAATTCTCCAGATTTATGTAGAATACTCAGGTGAATTTTATCATTTTTGAAGTTTCAATTTGTGAAGAATGCAGCAAATTGAAATTGTGGCCAATATTTGACAATTAAAATTCATAGATATAAACCTGGATGCAATACAAATATTTCAGCTCAGATTGATGAAGAACATTACAATGATACTCAATGTGAGCTTTTACTAGAGTTACTGCAAAGTTTCAGACCATATTTAAGGTTATTTTCTTTCTTTCCTCCCTATTCCGCCAAGGTCATAGGATGAAGTCTGAAGTTTTGTAATAAATGCATTACTAAAATTTCAAATAAGAAGATTTAAAAAATCGCCAGGATTATTTAATGAATGCATACCTTCAACATTTTCCTTTCATTTGTAACACCAGACCTTAATGACCTACAGTAAACCATTGGAAAAATTGCTCAGACCTGAATCCATGTAAACAGTCTATAGATAACAGGCCTGTATTTCAGATAACCGGATCATAGCTTCAGAAGCAAAGCAAAAAGAGTAATTGGGCATATTTTAATACTTCAAGTGTTTTTTTTTAAAAATCAGCTTCTCTGGAGGGTTTATAATAATCTTGTGTTGCAAAATGATGCCTATATGAATTCTCTCTCAAATACTGCCATTTAAAATTTAAAATTTTAAAATAGCAGCACGTTTTAAACAACAAGTTGTTCGTAATTGGTTTTCTATATAGCTACAAATGTAGGTTCTTCTTCCTGTGTACAAAAACAGTGCAGCACCCATGGAGCAGGTAAACAATCCACCTCTGGATGAAGTTCACAAAGTTGTACGATTCTTCTGAAAAAAATTGTGACGAGGTTCATTCAGCTACCTGTTTCTGGCAAGAACAGCCTGGGCTATACATTGTGAATACTTTGTCTGCTGAAGAAAGCCAGCCACAACACAGGCTCTCACACCGTTCATCTTTTACAACTTCACATTGTCACTCCTGCCATTTCCAAGCCCCGAGGATGAAGTGCTGATGAAAATAAAATAATAAAGAGGAAATTGGTTTCCACAACACAGTTAAAGCCTGAGTAACAGAGGAGAACCTTAATTATCTCCAGTCACAGAAAGACAGGAAATTTGGTCTTTTAATTAGGTGTTTGGAGTGAGTCCGATATTTTTTGCTAGATAGTTTAAAGGAAATAATCCGAATCCAACAAAATGAAATTCAGATAATCAGAAAGTAGATAATTGAATTTCCACTGCAATCATTAATTCAGTGTGTAGGTGTAAGGAGCATTCTATGATGAGCTGTCACAGCTCAATAAAATTTCAGTCAATTAACATTGCTTTTTTGTATTATTATGTCTACATTAGATTAAAAACAGAAAGTGATGCATCAAAAGAAATACCTTTCAGAATCTGAATCTAAATAGATTTCGACTTGCTCTGCTTTCTCAACAGGGAACCGTCTGTTGGAAGTAGCGTGCTTGTGAATTGCTTCAGCAACTGAGTAGTCGGTCAGACCTGAAACACAAGCCTCGATCTCTGGAGGACTTAACTGTGTCTGCAGGAAGAGGTGCAATCGGCTATCTGAAAGGAGGATGTTGATCTGCAGTACTCTGTAACAGAGACAAAAGTCATTAGCTAATAAATAGCCTACCGTATCCCAAAAGCAGTTAAGTGACCAAGCCTTTAGCCACTCTTCCCCGCCTTTGAAATACTCTTCCAAGAAGTCTTCAACTCATTTCCTCTCTCACCACCTTAAAAACGCTCTTAAAAACAGATCTTCCTGAATGTGCTTTTGATCATCATCCTTAACACTCCCTTTCTTCTCTCCGTTAGGTGTTCTCGTCATATTTATTAAACGCTGCATGACATTCAGTCCACATAAAAAACAGGGTAAAAGCACAAGATATTAAAATTCTCAGTAAAATACTGAATAAGTAGGCTTAAAATCCTTTAGTTTCCAAACCCAGCCTCAGTTTTTAAAACAGAAGTAATGTTGCTTATGAAAAACTTTTGTTTAAAGTTTTAGTATTACATATATTTATAAATATATAAATTGTATTAGAAAAACAATTTTTTGGCAGCATTCAAAAAATTAAATACCAAACTTAATTTAGAAAAGCTGGCAATGCTGCTTAGGAAAATAAACGAAAAGGAACAAAACAAGTAAACAATAAGGTCAAAGTGATTATCCTATTGTAAAGCAGCAAAGGTCTGGGAACAGATTACTGCTTCTCTTTTGGCCACAGATGGTGTACAGACAGGGAAAATAACAAAACTAATTTTTCTAAAGCTTGAATGAAAAGCAAAACTATACTTCAATGTTTGCGCTACTATCACAATACAAAATCAATTATTTTGCTTTGGCAATTTAAAGTCAAGATTGGATAGACAATTAGAAAGCAATCTTCCTTTCAAAACACAAGATGGTGAATTCACTAGAATATCAAACTTCAGATTAGTGCCAGAGAATGCAACTTTTTACTTTCATTGTTCAGGATCAGTATCAAGTTTCCCCTAACAGTTCATTTTAAAAAAAGTAGCTCCACATTACATAATTATATAAATACATGTCCGATAAGAGCTGCCATAATTTGGGCTTGGTTCACAGGACTGAGGACATGGCTACACCTCTAATTCCTACTGATAAATCAGACAGGCAGCAATGTCTTGGATTGCTGCAAGAGCATCAACCACTGGTATTTTTGTTCATAAAATGGTTTCCACAACTGAATATAGACACTAAAGAGAAAAACATATTGCTTTCTATGAATGTTGCCTGTTTTTTTAGAAATTCCTTGCTGGGGTTGAAGTCCGAAGGAAAGCAATTACAGCATTAATAGAAAATTAAAAACCATGACACAAGATGACTTTTGAACTTCAATTTAAGGTCAGCATTTCAGGAAGGGATTTGAAGAAAGCAATGCACAATGGTAATTCTCAGCTGTCAAATGGCGCCACTTAGAGGCCAAATGCCTTCAAAACGTGTTGCAGACACAGGCTGGCCAATGGTGTAGGAGTTTCACCAAAGAAAATGATATTGGATTCACTATTACCCTCCCAAAATATATGTGATTAAAGTATAATCCAAATGAAAAATTTAATTTCTGCTTTCTTAAACAAATGATAAAACCATATCAGGTTGTACATGGCATTTCCTGATTCCCCTGCATTTATGTAATGCATTTTTAGATAAAGTAGTTTGGGATACACTGGTTGGTTCTAGCAGTTGTTTTTAGATTATAAAAAATACACTTTAAAAATCAACAACCAAAATGTGCATTTATACAGCAAAAGTTTTTGACATGAAATTGGACTGGTACGGTGTGGTTAGAATACTAGAATCGGTCACAATAATAATAATCCTTGCATTTGCTATCACTTTATGTCAAAACGTCTCCAAGCGCTTCACAGGATATCCTATAAAGAGGTGTGACTGTGTTTATTTTGTGGGTGAATATGCATCATAAAGAATGAGCATGGAGATTATATTAGCTAAGATGTAAAGGATTCCCCCTATCCCAGCCCAACTTTACCCATTTAAAATATTGAATACTCCATAATATAGAGATAGTGCTATAGTTATAGAGCTACCAAAACAAACATTGGTAGCTCAGCCAAGTTTACAAATGAAAACATGTTCGAGAGCTGATGAGCTGTGGGTTTGGTTTAGACATTTTTACCTCTTTAAGTGAATATTCACGTTAGTTGTTACTTTACAACAAATCAGAACAAGGCTGTTGCCTCATAGGGACACGGGAGGTCATTCTGTACACTGAGCCAGTTTACCAGGTCACTTAAATAATGATAGTCGCACAGGAGCTGCTCCTAAAATAGGTGACTGGACTCACTAGTTTTTCATGATTCTAACTGATATTATTCGACCTTTGGAGCCTGCAAATTATTAAATCCTTGCAGATCTTGCTCTTTCTCCATGCCCTTTGACACCTCTTGCCTCATTCAAGGTCCGTCTCAAGACGTACCTCTTTGACCGTGCTTTCCATCATTCCCTTTTCCATTACCCTCAGTTCCCAAGTCCAACTTGAGTGCCCAGCCAGTACTGTTAAGTACTTTGAGACATCTTCCCGATGTGAAAGATACTATATAAATGTAAATTTGTATTATATGGTACTGCAGACACTTTGGATTCCCAGGGGCCAGAGTGACTTGTTTTTTTTACGGCCTTTTGAGACCAAATGCGTCAAATGATATCCCACAAATGAACAGACATTTTGACATCAAATTGCTCAAGTATAATATGACGATGTCAACATATGCAAACCACTGTTGCAGATATTTTGGTTTCTCTGCTATGTAAATAATGAGCCCAGGAGCTGCTCCTGAATCAGTGACTCACTGCTTCTTTCACAATTCCCGCTAATATTTTTTGGGGTCGGCCAGGTGTCTGACCCATTCAAAAACTCATCATCATGCTTACGAGTACTTAAACCTAATATTTGACAAGCAGAAGTGGCAAAACTTCATTTCGTCCACAAATACACAATCAATCCATTTTACAATATATTCTGTGAATCGTTTTGAGATACCTCAAGGCCGTGATAAGGCACTATAATCAAACGTAATTATTATTATTGCGCAAATGTCATGAAGTGACAGATACGGAATGAAGTTAAGATGTCTGTGCAGGGTTGGAACATTACCAGGTAACTGGAGATCAGACCGTGAGTCAGATTTTGCTGGATCTGGAGCCAGGCTAGTCACGAGAAGGACTAGCACGAGATAGAACTATCACTTTCCTGCTATGTTCATGATGCAGCATTGTCCGCCATCAATGGCGTTCCTGCTTTCTAAATAAGTGTAGCTGCTACCATCAGGGCTTCAGTTCACCATCAGGGGCAGCAGCACCAGATACAAGGCAAATGGAACTTCACTCCAGCAGCACTGGCTGCAGGGCCCAGCAACGCATAACTAAAAATCTACAGACATCCCTGCATAAGAGATGCAGCTAGAAAATAGCGATGCATGACACATGCCTCACATGGTTGTTCTGAATTCTTTTCTTTCACAGCACCACTCTGGCCCTGCAGAGGCACTCATTTTTAGGTCAACTTGGCGCTTCCTTGATATGCACAGTGACATGATAAAACTCCCTCCTTATGGATTATGGGGCGGGGTGGGAAGGGGATAGATTCTACAACCTTAGTCACTACACTTGATAGCAATTGAACATTACAGGCACTATATTAAATTAAAGGATTATTTGATTTGTATGGGTCAGCACTGGTGTCCCTTGGTAAATAAGTGTGTTGCTACATAACCCCTATCCTATATATTTTGGATGGCGAGGCGGCAGGGAAGAAAGAATGAAGAATGAAGCATTTAATCCAAGCATGAAATTCCTCGGATTGGTTTCAGGTCACAATTAAGTCTGGTGTAGGCCACACTGGTGTTGGATCTGCTACAGACCGCAGAAACATCATCAGATAGCATTAGATATATGTCCATTACCGGGTTGCCCTTCAGAGTTGGCAGAGCTACAAAGGGATTATGCCATTGTATCTGGTGGTACCGGTTCCTGTTATTTATGACCACATTTTTGCACCACCACCCATTTCAAGACAATCACCTGTCTATACAAACCTTCCCCAGAGATCAGGGAAAGCCCAGTCAGAATACAAAAGATGACATGAGTGTGCAACCCCACATTCTAAGCGGAGCAAATTGCATCAGATAGTGTGGCTGTGCAATAATACACACATCATTGAAATGGTTCCAAATCAATAAGAAACATAAAATTGTTAAAGGAGTCTAATTTACGATATTCACAAAATTGATCTGGTGAGCTAATTGTGATTTAAGAAAGCCATCCAAGTGTGAAACAAAAAGCCCAGAGCAAAACAGACTCAGAGTTTTTTGTTTCACACTCTGCTGGCTTTCTTAAGTGACATTTTAAGATATTATATTGTTTGTATGATATTACCCAATCTTTATAGTTGGAGAATAATACAATGTATTATCATGAATAGCTGTCAGCCTATTCTTGTACATCATGAATAGGTGTCAGCCTGGTGCAGTTGGTTGCACTCTTAGATGGACTATAGCATATTCGAAAAGAGAAGGGAGTTTCTCCCAGTGTCTTGGTCAACAATCCCACAGATAAAATTGGTCAGTCACTTCTAGGCTGTTTTGGGGTCATTTCTGTGGCACATATTAGCTGTTGCACAGTGATTACACTCAGCAGTAAATAACTTGAAGCGCTTTGAGACATTTTGAAATTTTAAGCATTGATTCAAACACAAGATTTTTTAAAGTATAGTTAATGACCCATCTACTCCTGCAGTACAAATCAGTAACCACAAGATGGCAGTGGTCATTACCTTAAATCAGTTTTAAGAGGGAGTTTCCAGAAAGACAAGAGACGAAGATATTCATTCAGTAAACAAAATCGAGCAGGAAGTTTTGCAAAAAAATTTAGAAAAGTTAAGGTGTAAAAAAAAATTCATAATGTTATTTGCACAATGTAAGAGTATGGAATTCCTGAAATCTTATAAAAGAAAACATCTAATTGGGCAACAAATTCGGGGTAAATCAGAGGAGAGAAAAAAAGATTTATTTCCATTGTTGTTTCCCACCCCACCCACATTATTTTTTT